GTCGCGTCGTTCTGGGAACCAAATGGAGTCGATATTAGTATTGGGATTCCTCTAATCGCTAAGTATCGTATTCGGGTATTGCTTGAAGAGGGTTATAGGTAAATTGGACATCACAAACAAATAATAATTTATTATAAAAAACATATTTTTATTAAATGATAGATAACACTACACACATTTTTCAACTAGTTAAGTAAAAAGTGGTCAATGGTCTCGTCTCAATACTATTAGTGGAACAGAAAGAAATGAGATTCAAGAAAAAAAATCATTATATTATCAAATCAATCATATTATCAAAAAGGATAATTGAAAAAGTCCTGTAGATATTTTGGTGTTGGTATAATAATCCGTATAATACCTAGTGTTGGGGGACTGACCAATTGACCACTTCTTAGTTGACCGGTCAATTGACCACTTGTTTAACTAAGTAGTGAAAAAATGTTTTAAATAACAACTTGCATTATTTGTATAGTGTTATCAATCATTTAATAATAATATGTGTTATAATAAATTATGACGCGTTTGTGATGTCGAATTTACCATCAACTCTCTTCAAGGAATATCCGAATACGATGCCTTACGATTGACAAAAAAATTGACCGGTCAATTTCACAACTCTAACAATACCTTTCTATTGCCACGAGGTGTTTTTCAGAATGCCTGCTAAGCAACATATAAATACCTAATATGTGTATATTAATTAATTATTGCCGTTTCCAAAATAATTATACAAAAATACATATTTAAAATCTTCTTCATCAAGATTTTCATTAATTGCTAATACTAATTTATATTATTAAAAAGAAATACATACTTTCACAAATAAACAAAAGAAAAGCACTTTCGAGACGGCAACGCTTAGTTTTGTGCTCTTTTGTTTGAACGAACACTCTCTTATCATCAATATAAGAATTGTTCAAAGTTGTCTTAAGTCATTTCGGAAACGACAATCATGAAAAAATTAACCCACCACTAAATTATTTTAAAAAGAGACATAAAAAGAGGTTGGCCATTTACTGTATTTATTCCAAGTTAGTGAAATAAGCAATAATAAATTGAAGACCATATAGCGTTTCAAAATTACCGAAGCCTCAAACGAGAGTACTGCCCGTAACATAACCAATGTTTTTCAATGTTGAACCGGAATCAACAAGTCTGAGAAATTGGTGAAAGACTAAGCTATAAGCGTTGTCGAAACTAGCCAAAGATAGCACCCGACGAAACATTCTAAAAAATAAGAAACAAGATAAATTTTTGGCTTATAAGCAAAAGGGTTGATAAATATATTATGAAGATAAATAAGATAAGTAAAAAAAAACAATAACAATTAAAAATTTATTTATATTCAGTAATGTTGAGGTTTGACTGTCTGGTAAAGATTTTTCCCCTGTTTGCAAGATCACTCTCGTTTTCCTATATTTGCTTACATGACTTTTATTTGCTATTATACAGATATGCAAATTGCGACCGTACATTTGCCTTTTTGTCCTGTATTTAAAAGAAGACATGTACCACCTCAAACTGCAAACACAAACTGTAGTTCATTGTGTATTACTATTGTAATTTGATGTCATTGATTTTATATCTGTTTTTAAATAAATAAGAATGTATTGTTAAGCCTTGTTTCTCCTTTCTTATCACAAGCAAAACTCGCCAACCATCGTAGTCGCTTTTTACTTCCACACTACGACGACGCAAATTTTAGGACCGCGGTGCGTATATCCGCAGCGCGCTGCTTGGTAAGCATGTAGTCCCAATTAGAAAATAAATAAAACATCACAGACTAGACCACCTGGCGCCTTTGCCGGGGACTCTAAACACTCGAAAAATCAGCTGTTTCCGACGTTGTCGTTTCTTACTTAACGCACGCTTTTACTACAGCTGATTTCGTAAATAATTACCTATTCATTATCTTATTTTTATTATTTGTATCAGACGGGTTACGTCACATTCAATTCGTATTTTTAGAATCCGTTCGCACATATTGTACGGCATGCCGCGGCTATTTTTAGACACCGGCGCCAAAGACATTATCAATTGTTTTTCGCTCACTTCAGCGCGCTTCAAACAAAATTAGATGGCACTTTTTTTCTTCTACCCATTCACCACCAAATAGGACCAACATGCGATCATTATTATCTAATGCCCGCAGTAAATGAAAAATTAAGTAAAAAGTTATGCATTATTTTTTCTGAATGGTAAAATACAAAATAATTAATTTTATTAACTTTATTCACTTTTCCAATAACACGGATATACTAAAATTGTATTTATTATATTTCTCGGGTATATTATTTTGCAAATAATTTTTATTTATTCATTATTTTTATTTTGATCTAACGAAAAAGGCAAATATAAAATCACAAAAACCGACAAGTTTTGTGACCAAAACTAAAAACAGGAAACTGCCTGAAAAGAACTAAGCGACAGCTTTCAGAAAATAAAATGCAATCCGCCGTAACTGTAGCTCACATTGCCAAACAAAAACGCTGGTAATAAAAGAATAACAAAATTAAATAAAAAATGACCCAAAAAATAACAGAATATTTATTATATTTGTTTAGTTTAGGTCACGAACAATAGAAACGCACACCATTTGGCCAACATCGCAAATAAGTAAAAAGAAAAAATTTCCAAAAAATTTCACAAATACGGCGGCGAACGGAACGAACAACGGAAAAACGCTCGAGAATATCCGCGTTACAAAAAAGGAACCGAAACGTTGGAAGTCGATGCGAATACAACTATTTGTTCCTATACCAGCAGATGGGCTCAAAATAGTTGAATGGAATAAATGCATCTGCAGAAAACATGTGCACATCGACAATAATAGATCTCCCCACCACCAACCGAGACAGAACTACTTCGGCAAAGATCAATCAAATTCAAAGTAGTCAAAGGCGCGATAATTGATGGTAAACAGCACGAGCCGGTCCGTTCGAGCGCCGTTTTGACGTTTTTGGACAAAAACAACGTGAAAACGTGGAAAAACGGGGATATTTTGCTGCACACGTAGAAGGCTTTGTTTGGACAGACACCATTTTGAAAGTCCGACTTGGAATATCCGTACCTTATTTAACGAACTTTACGGATGTTATTTGGCACTTTCTGGGGCAAAACTGTTCAAATTAGGAACTATGAGAGACTGGTGAACATTTTTTGACTTCCAACTAGCAGTATTAGCAACGAATTTAACGAACGAAAGTTGAAAGGACGGGGCCATGATGTTATGCGTTGTCCGCCGCGATTTAGAATCTCGATATTCGGAGCAAACACCGTGCAGTTGTCATCGATATAATCACGTGACTAGCGCGATTTTAATGACCGTCGGGAGAAGATATCGCGGGGGTGCTTAAAACACGGCAACTATTCACTCGGCGACTTAGAGAGAGCGAGCATATCGAGTTCAATGACACACGGTATTCTCACACACAACGGATCACTCTACTTACCAGTTATCGAGTTTGATAAGCTCCTCGGGCTTTTTAGCTTTGCGATCGGCCTTTAATTTAAGGGCTTGAGGGTACAGTTTAAGGACCTGTTCGTATTGGGCACAGGTGCCATGCGTAAAAAACGTCGCCGTGTCGTTAACGGAGGCCATAGCTAGTCGCGGACTGCCGGAGCCACTGTGAAACGACTAACACTAAACGTGCGCTAAAGTGTAGTTCGGACAGTTGCCGCGCGATCTGTGGTGGCGCGCACCGGGGCGCGGCGTTGCCGGCTCGTGGCTCGCGAAAGCAAAAACCACCTGTAAGGGGGCCGGTGGTGGTCTGCGGTCGCGGCCCATTGATAAACAAGCACACACGCGTCGAGGGGGCGGACGTCCCGCTAATTGCATCGGATTGTTTTGCCGTTTTGTCGCCGAAGTGTATGTCGCGACCTTCGGACGCGTGTTTCAGTAGTAGGCCCGATGATAACGGTGAGAGAGGCGGCAGCGGTGACGCAAACGTACCGGGAGTCGGGCTTCTCGGAACGCAGAAGTCTGGCCAGCTCAGAGCTTTGTTGAATTTATTAGCAAGGGAGGCGAATTAGGGTGGTGAATAACCGGGCTGTGCGACTCTGTACTTATTGGGTTCATAGCCACCTACCTATAAACTTATTCCCAATAATAAATGTAACTCCATTTTAAGATTTTGAGTATAACTCTACATTAAATGCTAAAAAAAGTACTTATAAGAGCCATGCACCTTTTCTAAATAATAAGTGTAGCAACATAGGCTTTAGAGTCAACAGCGTACGTAAATAAAGGTAATTCCTTTAGCAAAGGGCTTGTTTGCCTGTATTTTTGTCTGTAAAGTCCAAAATATGCCCAAACATGATCTTGGAATTAGTATATTGTTATAACACTTTTTTTTAAAAATATGATGATATAAGGGAAAAACAGAATTTGTTTTCAAGATGCGTTTCATTATTAGGTTTTGGCATTTAGCATAAATGGTAGGTTTACATAATAAAATAAATGTTTTTTCTATAGTTGGTCATGATCGCTCTCAATGGACATTGGCAAACGTTTTGACAGTCCATTAATCGCATACACTGAACTAGTATTAAATTTATTGTTTATTCAAAATTGAAAAATCAATAACGCAAAAAAAATTGAAACCAAATTTTTTGACTTTCTAATTAAATTGGAATAACTTGGAACTACTTATTATGTACATTCGAATAAAAACAAATAATGCAAAATTTGTTGATAGTATTACAATTACATTATTACATTATTTTCTAAGCTTACCTACGTAACATCGTCGAACTGGGAATTCAACCCGTCGTTTAATATTCATCTGGTGTGACAGTTTGAAATGTTTCTAAAACTGTTTAGATAAAAGTCAATCGTGCATCCTTGTTCCCTTGTTTTGTACTGACCAATAATGTACATTTCGTCTGTTGAAGATTCCATTGTTGGTTATCATACTTTCATCAGAAAATATTTTATTAACAAAATTCTTTTAGTGTTGACATTTTCTGGTGTACCACTTACAAAAGGCCCTTCACCAGGGCTTAGTCTTTGGCAGATTCGAAATTTGTATGAGCGATATTTATTCTTACACCAAATAAAATGTGCTGTATATTTTGGCGTTCAACTTACTTATTCTATGTTTGTAGAGTTTTCGATTACAGCGAACAAAACATTATTTTCTGGTTTAAATAAAATAAATTGGCAACTACTGTTTCAAAGATTTTCTTATATGGCGCTAATCTTTCAGGGAAGGTCTTATAATACTTCTGCTTAGCTTCTCGGGTATTGCTATGAGATACAATGCAATACGTATTTTCAAAAGATTTTTGCTTTTGATAATTAATTAAGAATTGTAACTGAGGTTAAACTGTCAATTGGTCAATAATAGTATATTATGCAACAAGTGTGGTAAACGGCATTTGAGCCACGAGTTTATTTGGACGAGCGGAGCGAGTGTTTACAAACGAGTGACTTAAAAAAGTTTACCAAACGTGTTGCATACTATACTTTATCTACCATACGTTTTTGGCATTTTTGCAAAACAGCACTGATAGATCACTGACGTGACCGTCTCCTAAAACATCTGATTGGTCCCAAACCCGTGCGACAATATCTCGGAAATGTCCGAAGTGCCTCGGATCCGTGGGAAACGAAACTGGCGTGGTCTTTAATAAATATAATAATAAATAAATATACTTTTTCTACGACCGAATACATTCTCTGACATGACCGTCAGAACTGACAAACGTCACAATTCCAGGTGTGGAAAATATCTCCGAAAACATCCGATTGCTCCCATACCCGTGCGGTAAAATCCAGATCTGTGGAAAACGAAATTGAAGTGGTAAAGTGACACGTCCCTTCTGTAAAATACATAATTCTACACAGATCTAGCGTGCGGGCGTCACTTTACTACCTGAGTTTTTTGTCCCACGGAGCCGAGTCACTTTCCGAGATTTTACCGCACGGATTTAGGATCAATCGGATGTTTTTGGAGATTTCCCGCACCTTGAATACTGACGTTTGTCAATTCTGACGGTCATGTCAGTGATTGTATTCGTGTTGTTTTGCCAAAATGTACCCAAAAACTAATGGGAGTAGAAAAAGTGTAGTATGCAACCCGTTCGGTAAACTTTTTAAATCACTTATTTATTAACATTCGCTCCGCTGCGCTCCGTTCATGTCAAATAAACTCGTGAGTCAAATGCCGTTGATCGCACTTGTTACATAATATATTATTATTTTTTCAAAACCCACTATATTTATAGCAATAATTGTTCTGTCCAAACTTTTGTATTTTCGAATGTCAGTTGAGAGCGATCATGGCCTACTATAAAAAAAATCAAGATTTTCTTTTATGACTCTAAGAACGCTGATAAATTCATCATCTGATACATAATTTTGAAACATATTTCATGCTCTATGTAATAAGGAAAATATATATATGTATATATATATATATATATATATATATATATATATATATATATATATATATATATATATATATATATATATATATATATATATATATATATATATATATATATATATATATATATATATATATATATATATATATATTCACGTATTGATTCACGGATGGAAAAATGTGATGACACTATATTCCGGGATATCATCCGTTCGCTTGTTGAACTCCGACTGGAATCCTGCAGACGTTTCGCCAAAATCTCACTTGGCATCTTCAATGCTCGCGCTCGAGTGTTCGAAGTGTTTTCGGAGCGCGAGCATTGAAGATGCCAAGTGAGATTTTGGCGAAACGTCTGCAGGATACCAGTCGGAGTTCAACAAGCGAACGGATGATATCCCGGAATATAGTGTCATCATATATATATATATATATATATATATATATATATATATATATATATATATATATATATATATATATATATATATATATATATATATATATATATATATATATTCTCACGTATTGATTCACGGATGGAAAAATGTGATGACACTATATTCCGGGATATCATCCGTTCGCTCGTTGAACTCCGACTGGAATCCTGCAAATCTTGCATCCGACTGGAATCCTGCAGACGTTTCGCCAAAATCTCACTTGGCATCTTCAATGCTCGCGCTCCGAAAACACTTCGAACACTCGAGTGTTCGAAGTGTTTTCGGAGCGCGAGCATTGAAGATGCCAAGTGAGATTTTGGCGAAACGTCTGCAGGATTCCAGTCGGATGCAAGATTTGCAGGATTCCAGTCGGAGTTCAACGAGCGAACGGATGATATCCCGGAATATAGTGTCATCATATATATATATATATATATATATATATATATATATATATATATATATATATATATATATATATACATATATATATATATATATATATATATATATATATATATATATATATATATATATATATATATATATATATATATATATATATATATATATATATATATATATATATATATATATATATATATATATATATATATTTACATCCGTAATGATATAGCTCGTCCACATGTGGCGCAGCAATAGGTCTTCTCCCAGAAGGAGAGTGTATATTTAAATTTTTTGCGCGTATACTGGATAATTGGGAACTATACAAACGTGTTCTGCAAAATAATTAACTATTTATTTTTTCAATTTTCACATATTTTCCAGCGGATGCGTCTTCCTTATCCAACACAGTCAAGAATCCTCCTCATGTATAAATGGATTACATATTACGCAATATTGGTCTTCCGAGTATATTTAAATATTACAGATTACGGTGGATAAGTTCACCACCCGCGTTGCCAAATGTCTCAGAATTTGGAACCGTTTATTAGAGCATCGAAGGCGGTTACTTCTATTTGAAGCTGTGCGCGTCCTTTAATTTTCACGTGTTTTTACGGTTCTGTGCATGTTTCGTAGTAGGAAAATTGTTAGGTAAGTAATTAAAATTTGAGATTGTGATCTCCATTTAGGCATTGCAAATTTGCTATTTTTTGTTGAATGATTTTTATTAAGTAAAAAACATTAATGGGATACTTATTTCAGCATGGCGCGAAGGTTATTTCCTGAAGAATACGCAAGTATTACATTATTGTTAAATATCCATATCTAAATATAACTTTTTATAGTATGCAGTTTGTGGTGCAAACTTAATAAAGAAAAAAAATAGGTGGTTTTGTAACAAACCCCTGGACGAACCATCACCTCTTACACCGAATGCCGTTTCAAAAGATCTAAACACAAATGATTTTGAAAGTGTAAGTGTACATTTTGAAGAGATAGGAAATTGCAGATATTTTTATAAATTCGTATTTAAAAGTTTTTGAAAATATTGTTAGATTTAGAAACAATTAAGAAGTTTTAGTAACTATTTAAATATTCTTAAACATTCTCACCGATTGTTTAAAACCACATCTCATAGTGAAACGCAAGTGAACGTTGAATACGTTCTTCCACTATAGCTTCCAATTTTCAGATAAAATTTTAAGGATGGATATTGCTTTGCTTTCTCTTCCGACACACAGTATGTTTTTATTTATATTTGCGTCTAAGCGATTACTTTTGCTATAGTGTGAAGAAATTAGATTATCAAACCAGCAACCAATGCAGGATTTTGGAGCTTCATTTTCATTTAAGGCAAACATCAATGACGTAAGTTGTCCTATTCGTAAATTTATTACATATATTCAAAAGGGAATATGTTTTTAGGAAAACGAATCCTCTTCTAATTCTTTGCCTTCAAATAATTCCAAAGCAGATCCCGAATATCTTCTTAGTGATAATGAGTCGGTTAGTAACTTATGCTACGTGAAAAACAAAAGGCATG